TCTCTTGGATTTAGATTCACATGATGTGAACAGCAGCCCATCGACTGCATACAAAAGATGCATCATATTTCAGATGTAAAACCACACATATGTTATTATGGTTTGTGGGAAAATTTAGGTTCCTGTGTTATCTACCACTGTAGATGGATACTCTGAATGGGTCTCTGTTCTGTTAAATTAATTTGGATTTCAATTTCTACCTTTTGAATAACTACATTTTAAATCATCTTGGGACATTCTCAGACTGCTTAGGAAGTTTCTGAACATGAAGTTGACGTTGTGAATTCTGTGAAGAAACAAACATTTATCGAAAGCCTGCCATATGCCAAATCTGTGCTTGTTATTTTAAAAATACATATATTTCCCCTTTGATTTTTATAAAAACCTTAAAAGGTATAGGGATGAAGACATCAAGTCTTAGCAGTTTAGGTGCCGAGATTCAAAATGGACCTGGGTCTAACTTTAACACTCATATTCTTAATATATTCCAGATGATTTTTAGGTTTTGAACTTCATTACTCACATAAAATCAACTTTAATCTCAATATTGTGAAGGGCTTAGCATAGTACTTGGCACACATTAAACACTCAACAAATCATCTCTCTTGTTATCTCTATCACTCCATTGGATGTTTTTCTCCCCCTTCATTTTTTTCTGTTTAATACCTCTGGAATTTATGTTTTATTCCTTCAATTTCACATTAATAGAATGAGAGTAGGGAGAAGAAAGAGAAAAAAATTGAGCAAGTCCAAAAACAAGAGAAAAAAATGAAGAAATATGGAAGAAATAGAGATGGGAAGTAATACTTGCCCCATTGCGTGGTTGTTAATGATCACATTTGGTTCAAGTTTTTATCCTCAAGTTTTGTTTTATTCCCAGGTCATACTTACATAACAGCCACATAAGAGTTGTGGCAGAGATTTAAACTATTGGATATGAATATGAATGCCAGTGTCTTAGTATACAGATCTGCATTCATTCTCTCTCTCTCCCTTTTTTTTTTTTTTTGTTGTGTTGGGTCTTCATTGCTGCGCATGGGTTTTCTCTAGTTGCGGTGAGTGGGGGCTACTCTTCATTTTGGTGCATGGGCTTGTTGCGATGGCTTCTCTTGTTGTGGAGCACAGGCTCTAGGCGTGTGGGCTTCAGTAGTTGCAGCACGCGGGCTCAGTAGTTGTGACTCACAGGCTCTAGAGCACAGGCTCAGTAGTTGTGGCGCATGGGCTTAGTTGCTCTGCAGCATGTGGGATCTTCCCGGACCAGGGCTTGAACCCACGTCCCCTGCATTGGCAGGTGGATCTTAACAACTGCACCACCAGGAAAGTCCCCACATCCACTCTCTTTTCTAATTTTTCCCTTCCCAATAAAAAAACATTTTATTCATATTGATTAGTTCTGCTATTTTGAGGTGGAACACTCTGCTGCAGTATTTCTTTTGAGTCTTCCCATGGCATCAGACGTAATAGGTCCAAAGTGAAATCCATTGTCTTTATTCTTTCTCTACCAAACATACTCCCTTCCTCATTTATCCTAGTTCTTAATGTGGTGCCAAAGGTCCAGTGCCTGAGGCAGAAAACTTAGTGTCACCTTTGATTACTCTCCTTCTGGGTCCTTTTAATTTTTTTTTTTTTTTAAACACCTGCCTCTGCAGTTCCCTGCTACCCATCTGTCAACACCGCAGCCACCTGATCTAGTTATCACTTCAAACTTGTGTTCTTCTCCCAGCCATTCAGCTTGCATATCTTGTCTTTATATCTTTACTCTCAAAGTATCCCACATATTACTTCCTAGAACAAGTTTTTACATTAATCTTCTTTTTAGAAACCAGCAGTGATTCCATGTTCAGGTTACTTTGCCTAAATTATGGGTATCCTTTCCATACTTATTCCAGTTAAGTTTCCTACTAATAATGTACATGCTTTTCCCCAGTTAGATAATGTTATTAGTTAATAACATATGGAACCTGCTATGTGCCAAAATTGTTCAACGTACTTTATATTCATTGTGCCATTCCCATTTTTAAAAAGTTAACTGAAGGCCTGTAACTTGGTCAGTGCACTCACAATTGGAATGGACTCTTAATGAGCGTGTAATACATAGTTTCTTTTCCTGCACTGCATTCCCCCTTCTCACATTCCATGCTTAGTTTTACCCACCCTTGCCTTTTTCATGGTGTTTCCTGTTCCTAGGATATTTTTTCTCTTTGGTGTATCCAGTTCATATCCGCTTCTAATTCACATCCACTATGCAAATACTACCTTGACTTATTTAGTTCTCATGGATCTTTCCTGTTGTCAAAATTCTGACATATTTATGAGGAATTCTGCATAGTTTATCATGTAACTATTCTCAATGTAATCAGTTTTGTCTCAGTTTTTCTTAAAATTTTAGCAGGGCTTTATGAGCATTAAATACTTGTTGGATGAATAATTTTTTCCCTCTTCACAAGTAGACATCAACTTTCTGGAAGGTTTAGCCCATGTCTTAATTTTTTTCCCTTCCCCACACAGCTCAGCAATGTGCTTGGCACGTATATAAATACTTAGCGATTGAATGTAGGAGAGTCTAGGCCATCTGCCTTTTGTGACTTTCATGGGAAAATACCTTCTCATTTTGTGCACATAGATGCACTTCAACCAAAAGGGTAGCACAGAAGATTAAGATAAAGAAGTGTATCAGGTATATAATTACAGAATGAGATACATTATCTATGTTTATTTGGACATATTAAAAGCCTTAAACTTTTAATACTTAACTAGATGTAAGGCACTGAGCTAAGTGTTTTACATTTATTATCTTCATCCTTAGAACCAAGCTGTTGGATAGGTGATGCAGCTGATGCTCAGAATGGTTAAATAGCCGCTCATAAGCAATAGAACTGGGTTTAAACTCAGGCATTCTTGATTTTAAATACTTAAGTGCTGTGCTGCCTATCTTGTTATTCACCCTTATTGTTGGAGTTTTCACCACTTGAGTCATACCTCCCTGTTTAAGTTCATTAACTTTAAATACTTTAGATCATGCTGGTTTCCAGCATAAAGTAAACATTCAGTGACTGTTAGCCTTTATTGTTGCTATTTTTCCAAAGTACACTAAAGTGTCCATGACATTGTCTTTCTCCTTATGCAAACTTTAAAGGCAGAATCAGCTATTTTTTACCTCTGTAAAATCTGGAGAAATATATATGTGTGTGTTTAAATGTATTTGGAGTTTCATGAGGGCAAAGAGGATTTCGAGAGTGAGAATTTAAAGTGAGCTACTTTGCTACTGTTTCCAATCATCTCTCTGTAGTAAGATGCAGTGCCTGCACAGTGTATCTGGAGAGATGCCTGTCTTGAGCTCACAAATGGGAAGTAGGTAATGGATGTCAGAGGTATCTAGAGTTGCCCTCAGTGTCTTGGGAAGGATTTTGACTATTGATCTACTTTGTATGTTTTCACAGTGGAGGATTTTAGGTCCTCTTTTCAAGAGGTCATCTCATTTTTCTGCACATTGGAGAATGATAGAATCATGGAAGGCATTACTACTTTAGTTTTTATTTTTGTGTATACTATCTTTGTGTGTTTAGATTATGGAATTTAAGAAATAAATTCCATAATTTGACTAGAGAATAACCAGTTTAGTGAAAATAAGTGAAAGTAAAACCCTTTTATTGAAATTTTAAAATTTTGATAAAATTTCAAACTTACAGAAAAATTATAAGAAGAATATAAGGAACTCCTATATACTCTTTAACCTATTTTTAAATAGTGACCTATTTGAAAAATAGGTTTTTCTTTCATCTTAACATTTGCTAATTATGTAATAAGTCATGTTATTATCACAGTGGTAGAATGAATGATAATCTTGTTAACTGGGCTTACCTTTTCCCCCTCAGCTTTATTGAGATATAATTGACACATAACATTGTGTAAGTTTAAAGTGTACAACATGTTGATTTGATACATTTGTGTATTGTAAAATGATTACCACCGATGGCATTAGCTAATATCTCAGTCTTGTCACATTGTTCCCATTTCTTTTTGGGGTGAGAACATTTAAGATCCTATGTTTAATTTTAATGCTTTCTAAAGGGATTTTTTAAAAGTCACTGCTATCCTTAGAAATGTCTGTCTCCTCGTATCCAGTCACTGCCCCCGCCCCACCTTGACCCCCCTCACCATACTTTTGCAGATCAATTTAAAGATTTATCTGTTTTAAAATTTAAATAAAATCCAATTTGGAGTTTTGGGCTAAAATACTGTTCATTGAAATGAAATGCAAATAGTGTGAAATGAGAACATTCAGACAAATCCCAAGTGTGAGGAATCTAATTAAACAGGGAAAAAATAAGCCTTATTTTTCAGCTGTAGAATTATAACATTCTAGTGGCAAGATGGAAGAGCTTTTATATGGCTCAGTTTTTTTTTTGTTTTTGTTTTTGTTTTTTTTTTGTTTGTTTTGCTGTACGCGGGCCTCTCACTGTTGTGGCCTCTCCCGTTACGGAGCACAGGCTCCGGACGCACAGGCTCAGCGGCCATGGCTCACGGGCCCAGCCGCTCTGCGGCATGTGGGATCCTCCCGGACCGGGGCACGAACCCGTGTCCCCTGCATCGGCAGGCGGACTCTCAACCACTGCGCCACCAGGGAAGCCCTATGGCTCAGTTTTAAAATGATGCTTGAACTGACTACATTAAACAAGTATAATTAAAGGTATTTTAAAATTTAGTATCTGATGTACTATTTTAGTTAAATTTTAGAATATGAAATTTAAATATTTAAGATCTCACCATGAGTACGTGCTTTCACATTATTGTTAGGATGAAGTGAAATAATTTGTGAAAACAACTTAATTATAAACTAGAAAAAGACTATATAACGTGAGGTATTTTTATTTCATTTATAGAAGCAAAGGAGAAGAAAAGCTGTTTATTTAAATAAGTGGAATAAAGGAGCCATCTTTATTTCAATATTGTTTGCATGAATTATAAAGGATTTAATGTATTTGCATTTTTGATTTCAGATTCAAAACGCTAATGATGTATTAATTGCGCCACTTGAGAAATTTCGCAAAGAACAAATAGGTGCAGCAAAAGTAAGTGTTGCATTTTATTATTCTTCGTATATTCTCTGATAATTAAAGATGACAGACGTAATTTCAGACGTTAACATTTTTGAAAGTAGAATGACCTTTTAAAACTCCCGTACGTCATTTAAAATTTTTGCACAGAGCCTATTACAAAGACTGGAATTCTTTTAAACACAGAAAAGATATTATTCTTCTACTGAATAGAGAAAAAGTCAGCATAAGTGGGCTCCTCCCATCCCAACAATGGTAGGAAATTAACTGTTTTAAAGACGGTGAAATTATGGTAAAAATATGAGGAGTTTCCCTAACATCTATATAAAATAAAATTAGGCACGAGGTATGTACATTGAAAATTAAGGTAGTAATTATAAAAGACCTTTTATTATTTTTTGTATTTTTTATTCTTAATAAAAATATTAGGAATATAACTATTAAGAATATTATATAAAGTGTTTGTGGAAAACTTTAGACATCTTTGTCAGGCCTTTGCATTAATGTTTAATTGGTTATGGATCAATTAAGATTTCCCTGAGCCTAATAATTTCTGCAATGTACTTGCATCCTCTTTCTTAGATCCATGTTTAACTACCTTCTCAACATCATGTAAGGACATAAAATTTGGGTTTCCAAGATAGAACCCATCATCTGTCATACTTCCCCTGTCCTTTCTCTGATTTGGTTTTCTAATTAGTCAATGACATACCTCTTCCCTCTTTGAGCAGTGCTTTCATTCTCCTGCAGGAATATTTCTCCTCTGTTCTCCTCCCTTCTGTCTGAAATATTGAAATAGCCTACTAGTTGGTCTCTATGTCCCCACCCTAATCTGTTAACAAATTTTTGCCATGTTTAGCAGTTGTTCTTCAATTATGAAACCTTCAGTGGTTGTCTCTGAGAGAGACAGTTTAATCTCGATAATGAAATTTTTGCACAGTGTGGCCACTTTCTACGTTTCAGTATACCTCCCTCATCTGGTACAACTGTCTGTTCACTAGTCCCTGTATATATCCTGGCTCTACTAATGTCTTTGCCCGAACTTTTCCCCTCCTTGGAATATTGCTTACCCTTAACTTGTTGAAGTCTTGCTAGCTCTCCATGGTCCCTTATATTCCAGCACCAGAAAGAAGCCTTCCTTTATGTGGGTCTTTCCTCATATATCTGTTCCCCTTCCAGAATTGATTTTTTTTTTTACAGAATCAAGTAGTCCTTATGCTTATTTCCTGTAAAAAGCTATCACAGTCTGCCTTGAATCAGAGTTTTATGTGCATTTCTCCACCAATTATGAGCCATTATCAAGTCAAGAACTAAACCAGAACCATTTCTGTGTTAATTCAGCAAACATTTATCAATATCTTGGTTGGCCCACTTGTGGCAAGTATGGTGTTTGATAAGATTAAGGGATACAATTGTAAACAAGACAGACAAGATCCCTACACTTGTGTCATTTATTATCTTTTGTGTATTTACAAATGCCCTGAGGATTGTGATACAGAAGTGCGGGCTGCTTTCTGAGAGTATAATTAATGGAACTGACCTTGTCCAGAGAACCAAGCAATGCCTTCTGGTGGAAGTATTGGTTAAGCAGAGAACTAAATGATGAGAAAGAAATAGCTAGAAATGGGGATACAGGGGCAGCAAGGGAGGAACCTTCTTTACACTCCAGAAGAGGACCGTGGGGATGGAGGACATGTGCACGTCTTTGTATTTACTCGTTGTTCTATTTTACTCTTATTCACTGATAAAGAAAAGTTGTAGGTAGAGGAGTGATTATATTTGATCAAAATATTATAAAATATTTTGATATTTTAAAATATCACTCTAGTTGCATGCCATGCATGGATTGGAGGAAGCAGGACTGCCTGAGGGAAACCATGCTTGGGAGTTAAAGGACAGTTATTTTGGATTCAGAAGGGAACACTGGCTGTGGAGACAACGGGATGTATTTCAGAGGTAAAATGGAAAGGGTAGGAAATGGGTTACATACTGGGAAGTGAGCAACAGGACATTTCAGTGTTCTGTGTTCAGTGTTCTGTTCCCAGGGTTCTGTGTTGTAAAATTGGATGTTTTTTGGAGCCACATACTGAGATAGGGAACATTTATGTTAGGATGGCAAAGATGGTTTGCCATGAATGAATTCGAGGTTTCTCTGAGTCATCCAAATGGAGATGGTGAGTTAGCAGGTATATGTTCAGATCTGAATTAGAAATATGTTTGGGAATTGTCCTCTAGGTGATAATAAAATCATGGAGATAGATTAGATCCCCCTGGGAAAGAGCAGTTTGAGAAGAGGACCTAAATTCTATATAATCGGAGAACTCTCAACAGTTAATGTATGGAAAGAAAGAAAGACAGATAAGGAGGTTGAGAAGGAAGAAGCAGAAGAAGGAAGAAAATACAAGAATGTGGTGTCTCAGAGCAAGAAGTCTTTTCAAGAATAATAATAGTTGATCTTTCTTGAGATCTATACTGTAGGATAGATTTCACTGAGCTATTACATTTGTGACCTGATTAAGTCCTCACAAGCAACCTTCGTGGTGAGTACAGGTGTTACATCTGCTTTACAGTGAGGAAAATGATGAGGTCACCTGCATGCACCATTTCACAGAGCTGGGAAATCAGGCTATGGATCTGAAATCAAGCCATTTTCCTTCAGAGCCTCGATTTACCATATTTCACTTCATCAGTGATATTTTTTTGAGGATTTTTTTTTTTTTTTTTTTTTTTTTTTTTTTTTGGCAGTAGGCGGGCCTCTCACTGCTGTGGCCTCTCCCGTTGTGGAGCACAGGCTCTGGATGCGCACACTCAGCGGCCATGGCTCACGGGCCCAGCCGCTCCGTGGCATGTGGGATCCTCCCAGACCGGGGCACGAACCCGCATCCCCTGCATTGGCAGGAGGACTCTCAACCCCTGTGCCACCAGGGAAGCCCCATCAGTGATATTTTTATGAAGTTAAAAACCTTTGTGAAGAATTCTTTCTCTAGCACAGAATATTCCAACTTTTTGGCCCATTTAAAATAGTAAATTTCATATGTGTGTAGATTCTTATTTGCAGGTTTAGGTTAGCTACAGTTGCAGTAGCATGAGCAATTACACCCATTTTATTTTGTTTTTTAAGTATCTCAATTGCTGGACAGATCAGCTGGGGACACACAACAGTGTTCTATGACCTTGCCTACTTGTTGGGAGGTTGAACTTGTAGTTTAATTAATTCAAATGAAATCTGGAGCATAAATATGGTTGTACTGGGCCTCTTGGTGGCGGTGATTCTGTGTATTTTATTTGCCTGATGGCTCTTAGTACTATATTGTTTCTCAGCTGCTAAGTGATCCTTGTTTAGTAAAGTGAACGGAAAGCAGGCATTCTCTTCTGCAGTATTTGTATAGGTCCATTTTCTTTTTCTCTGTTATTGCAGAAACATCTTGGTAGGAATAAAAATCTTGAAAATGTTGATTTTTTTTTTTTTTCTATTGCTTTACTTCGTGTTTTACTTAGGTATTTTATTACTTGGTAAATAAAGTTAATTCTGCAAATGACACTCTTACACTTTTCAGTCTTGACAGTGGAGGTTTCCCACAAGTGTGTTCAGGCTGATGAGTCAGCTAGAAGGCAAGAGTGTCAGTTAAGGTCCACTGCAGTCAGGACCTCCTCAGCTTGGACCTAGTGGAAAACAACTGAGTCAGAGTGGCCCTCTCCTCACGCAGATGATCCTGTTTAACCGAAGTGGATAAAGTCCATGGATGGCAAACATTTCTTTTGTTAAAATGTGTTTTTGAGACACACTTGAGCTTTGAGCTTTGAGACACCTGATACTTTGCTGTGGAAAGCAAGGCCCTGAGCGAGTTACAGTTGTGGGAAAAAACACTGCATCTGTGAGAGGCATTAGAAAAGATTAATGATGGGGTTGTTGAACTGAAGGACAGAAGAGATGGGTCCTGCTTTGTGAATAGCTAAAGATTAGAAGAATTATCCATAAACACTTGTCAAGAATATATTTATTTAAAGGTTCTTAGTCTGAGGGTGTATGCAGAATGAAATTGTATTGCAGGCCTGACCTATTACATGTGTCAGACATAGAAGTGAATGTTTGGTTTCTTTAATTCATATCCTCATACACTGCTGACTTAAGTTCTAGAAATGAGTGGAATATAGGTATTCTGAATGAATAATGCCAGCTAGAATTTCCACAATATGAATATGCCTAGAGCAGCATTATTATAGAGCAAGTTGAGTTATAACTTGTTTTCACACTTTTTTTGTATATATTAACAGCTATATTTCATTGTATTGGAAGCGTCCTCCTTGCCCCCAGAGAGAATGAATTGTACATCATATCTGCAGTTTCCACACGTGTTCCTGCATAAACTGGCTGACATGAAAATATTGGTAGAACTTCATATCTGAGTTCCTAGTCAAAAACAAATACATTAGGGAGAAATCTGGGTGAGCAGTGGCTCATTTTCCACGTATAAACAAACTGGGGGTGCTCAGTCCCCAGTCCCCAGAATGAGGAACAGAACTCAGTTCCTCAGACCAGCAGTCTTTTGACCACTCCATGCTGCTCTTTAGAATACTCTTTTGTGAAATATTTTTTCTTTACTTTTAGCAAACAAATGTTTTAGTGTGAAATATCTTAATGATAAAAGTGTTGTAAATAAGCCCAAACTTGCCCACTTTGAATCAAACCTATTTAATGTATCTGTCTTGATTTAAAAATTCCCCAGCACAGGCCTGGGCAGTATGCCTCCTTGTAATGGAAAATGTCCTGTGGTGATAGGCCCAATGGAGCAATCACCCTTCCAGGGAAGGGGGAATGAATCACACCTTTAGTGTACCCCTGGGCCCAGGGTACCCCACAGACCCCTCTCAACAACCCTCCCTCCCAGCGTTTAAACTTTGTGCCTTTGACCATCTGCTGGGTCTGAAGATATTTTATGCAAAGAGTTCTTGGGCCCCTGAAGTCAAGGATGGGGGTGCTTGGCAGCTGTTCTCTCTCCCTGGGGATATGCAAC